GTAAATTGGTCCATCCGAAGAACTGCAACAATCTGCTTTTGGCTGGAGACCGCAGCTTGTGATCATCTTCATCATCGGCATTATTATCGACGTCATTAAAAATGGCCCACCGAAATTTAGTAATGGTTAACAGCTAATCCAACAACTACTGTTATGCTGAGCGACTCTGGAGCGACTCAGGCAGTTAATAATAGGATCGAACAAATCGAACTATGACGGATTTATTAAACAGAGTAATGTAGCTGCTATTATTGTGGTTTTATGATCTACATATACATTGTTACACCTAACATAAACTAACATTTTCGGAAAGCGAGAAACAAATTTGATGTACAGCAATTATGCAACCTTAATTTGTTAGAATATTTAATAATGAATTCATTTGCACGGCGTGACAATTTTAAAGTCCTCTGTAATATAGCATAAAATTGAGCACCAGCGCCAAAACTAGTGCACATCGACGTCTATAGCCACGGTGGAAGCATGGAATTTATTAACTGCTCTTCAAAACCCATTCGGTTACACCTCATAGTGCACAAACGTAGCACAAAGACTTTATGTAGGACACAACGCAATTAAAGCAAGGAATCATTCAAACTCTTTACCTGTAACTACCGGAGACTGGAGTAGTTAACATGGGCATTTGTTTTGAAACCATAAACTTTTGTAAGTAGTAAGGGAATGTATTAAATTTGTGTGTAGATTCGTTGCAGTTAGACACAGGCAGACAGCAACCATACATCCAGCAAAGCGCTATACGGCCGGTTCGGTCTATTGGGACTCATCAGTAGCACGCACCCGCCGAATCCTACCGGATTCGAATCCACGACCTTACACTTGCGAGTCTGCGAGTTATACCACTGAGTTATGGGCGACGGCAGCGGATCACATCAGCCCTGTCCTCTGCACATTCACAACATGCAAAACAGTGGAGGATGAGCTGCGCTATGTAGCATTTAGCTAGCAGTCATGTCGAATTGTCTGTCGAGGCCTTCCTGCTTCTGAGCTAAATTAATGCAATGCGGCTTGTGCCTGCAGTAGTAAACGTGCTTGGAAATTGTCGATTAATATATAAACTGCACAATAGCCTACTAATTTGATGGCGTCGTTGCAAAACGTGGGGTGCATAATGTCGGCTTGCAGCATTTATGCATAAATCAGGTCGCCCGTTTTTCCGATTACCCCAATCCAAGTTATGCATTGCATGTATGAAGCAAGGTCGAGTAGAATTCAGCCAAAGGGTACAAATTTCTTATTCACGAGGTTCAGTTACTGAATGTTATGAAAGAATTTCTCGAGCATATGTTAAAGAAGGCAGTCTGTGGTTGGTTATGAACAATGAACAAAGTATTTGTACGAGTTAAGAAGCGTCGCTTTACAAGTCCCGTTGGATGGTTGGTGGTGTTATCAACATAACAGTAATGAAGATAAGGACAGTAAAATAGTTACTACTTTAAATATGCAAATAAGGACTTATCGTTTGCTCCGCTGCAGTCCTGCGATCCTCTTAGATGCACAGCACCCACAGTTAACAACAAATAATTCCATGTTAAACTCCAGGTGTATGATGGAGACGTAGTGTTAAGTGACAAAGTGTAAGTGGATGAGTGCATCGTCCAACCGTCTTTTAAGTACTGTTAGTGTCGTCCAGAGACGACCGATCCTGGGAGAGCATTTCACGGGTTACAGACATGAATGTAAGAGAAATTTCTCCCTCACTCCAGGCGGCTATACTTTACAGCGAGTTTCAATGAATGGTTCCTCAGTTTGTGTTGCTGCTGTGTTGCACTAAAGAGCGGCACACATGATGTGGGTCTCGCAGAATCAAGTATGCCAAAATTAGGTCGCCTCGTAGTCTGCGACAGCTTCAACTGAACAATCCCAGTCGTTGCAGCCTCTCCTGATAGGAAAGATTGCGCATTCCAATTACGTTCTTAGATGCCCGGCGTTGTGGCTGCTCCAGTGCATTAAGGTCGTGTTTCAGCCATGGATACCAGGCTTGAATTGCGTATCCGACATGGGTGCGAACATACGCGCTGAGCATTTGTCGAAATATGGCGCTGTTTATTTCTCCAAAGGCCCGCCTCAACAACCCCAAGTGTTGGTTCACCGTCTTCGAGGCCTTTTCAGATTGCCTGGAGCAAGCCAAGTCATCTTGAACCAGGACACCCAAGTCACGTTCGAGAGCTGATTGCTGTAGTATATTCGTTCCGAGTCGGTATGAGTAGCTGCTCTGATGTCGGATGGAAAGCACCTTGAATTTACTGACGTTGAAATGCAATGAGTTTCGGGTCGATCATTGATACACTGCATCTATATCACTCTGAAGCACAGGTTGGTCGGTGTTCGCCTGGATCCTGCGCCAGATCTTGATATCGTCGGCAAACATTAGGAAGTTTAAAGTGATTCCCTGTGCAAAGTCATTGATAAATACCAAAAACAAACGCGCATCTTGAACTGAGCCATGCGGCACATCACACTCAACTTGTATGCGGTCCGATAAAGAGCTCCGAACTCAGACCACTAATTGCCGTTGAAGTAGAAAGTTGGCGATCCAGCTTAAAAAAGGTCACCGATGCCGTAATGTTGCAGCTTGCATAGTAGTATCCGATGGTCTAGACGGTCGAAAGCCTTGGAAAAATCCAGGTAGATCACGTCAACACCTTCTCCAGCGTCAGGTGCCTCGGTCCAACTACTGCGTGCAATGAGTAAATTCGTTGTACATGGCCGCTCTCGACGGAAACCATGTTGTTCAGGGGTGATTAGGTTGCATTTTTCCAGATAGCACACCAGTACATCGGCAAGTATGGATTCCATGACCTTGGAGAGTATAGGAAGAAGGGATACTGGGCGGTAGTTGGAGGGATCAGTTCTGCTTCCACCTTTGTGAATCGGACTTATTATTCCAAGCTTCCACATGGAGGGAACTTGGTTCTGGACTAAGCAGCGCTGGAAAAACTGAGCTAAAGGTCCTACCAGTTGAATTGCTGCTGTTTCCAATGCCTCTGGACGAATGGTGTCGCCACCCGGCGAGGTGTGTTTGCGTAGAGAAGTCAGCTTTTGCAATACAGCCTCTGCGGTAAAAGTGATGTGGGTTAGTCCTGGCGAGCAGAATACTAAGCTTGGTAGATCACTTGTTAGCAAGACTCTTTGAAACGTAGGGGCGTGTTGCATCTGCAGCGCGTTTGCTGCTTCCACAGTAGTTCTTATTGAGCCATCAGCCGTCTTGAGTGGAGCAATACCTTGCCTCAACTTTCGTAGGCTAGTAACGTGCTTGTACAGCAGTTTGTGGTTAGCCCTGAAGGTTTTTGTGATGTTCTGCTGATAGGCGGCTTTGTATTCTCTTAACAGTTGTGTGCAGTGGTTACGTTAGGCTACCTAGTTGTCCCAAATTTCTGGTGCTGGAGCTTCTCTGTACACTAGCCATGCTACATTGCGTACCGTCATCCACTTTCGAATTCTGCTCCTAAGGAAAGAAACTGATTTGCACTTATTGCAAGCTTTTATCTCTGGAGCCTGTGCAATCAGCTGACTGAATTTTCTGACGAACTCGAGCCAGGCGACTTCCGGGGGTTCTTTTTCGAGGAAAGACCAAGTTGTTGCGCTGACGAGCTGGGCGAGTCGGTCGTACTATGAGATGGTTCGCACAGACTCATCGTTCTCATTTAGACATTGTGCATAGCAGATGAAGTTGAAATTGATGACTGCGTGATCACTGCGACCCGTAGCAGAAATGCGTGTAGTTCCGTGACTTCAGGACTTACTTACTGGTCAATAAATAAGGCGATAAATGATATTCCAGTCATTGCGCTTGTTCATCTCGAAGATTGACTCACTGTATATCGGGACATTGCAAAATCAGGATCATTTAATCTACTAGGCTTAGATACATATCAGGAGCAATCCCCTCCTTGAACCGTATTGGTTTTCATCCGATGCATCTGGCAACAAGTGATCCAGCTACAAAGCAGGGGATGCATAGCTATAAAACCTTGTGATCTATCAAATTCATATTCCACAAATTTCATACAAGCTCTTTAAATATGCGACATTTACTTGACGAAAAATACAAGGAATAAGTACATTTAGATAACGTTAGCTCACGTAATCACTAAGCTAACAAAATAAAATAAAATTTGTATTAGTACATGCCACCTATAAAGTGAGGACTAGTTTCTGGAATTATATTATGCCGCTGTCTACTGAGTTTGCATATTCGTTTTAAAACTAGCACTGATGCTCTTACAAGCGGATAGTCAAAACATCCAAATTCCCAACGTTACCAGATCCAAACACTTAATCGAGTAACAACTGCAAGTTGTATTGTAAAGCTTAATGCCAAAAAGCAAATTAGCTGATGACTTGGCTATCCGAATTCGCTGAGAAAACCTGTAATAATGAGTGCCCTAGAGTGAGGCAAGAGTAGGTGTATGCAGCAGCTCGGAAGGAAGAAATAATGGCAAAGGTTTGTTTAGGATTTAGTCTAAGTAAAGAGTACGTTTGCAATTGCTATATAATAATTGCACTAAAAATAAAATTAACGGATTCATTTAACTAATGATCCAATACAGACAGCTGACGAATGCAAATTTTGCGGACTCGTACGAGGAAAACGACCTTGTAGCAACTCAAGGACAGTCTGGTTTCGAATTGAAAATGACACGATATGCGGAACACACGGAACCATCGCAATAATTTTATTTAAATATATGACCAATTTCTGATATAAATTGTAAAGCATAATCAGCCAGAATCAAGTCGACTTCTGGTATACACGTGTGATCATGATGAACAAGTTGGCCATATTGTTTGCTGCTCTGATTCATTTGGCACCTGTTGTTTGGAGCATGAATTTCACAAGTTGCGGTGAGTTAATTATTGACACTGAAAGCCGTTCCTTCATTTGGACGGTGCCAAACTCAGCGACATTGCGGCATTGCATTGAATAATTCGCACTCCACTCAGTGGTATATATACATGCTAACCAACGTCTCCGTTGCAGGATCCCAGATTGGCTCGTTGGTTAATGTGTCCATAAAACCTTGCAACACAGAGCCGTGCATGCTGTATACGGAAACCACTGTAGAGTTAAATATCCAGTTTACGGCAAGTAAGTTTGCATCCTGTGTTCTACTCGTGTGGCGTATTGATGGATGCAGATGACATCTAGTAGCTTTTCCTCCTCTATCTCCGCTTTCACAGAAAAAATAATCCAACGTGGTCAGGCTGCGATCAACGCGACGTTTTATGGATACTCGTTTAGGTTGGGACTTTACAATGACAGCCTGTGTGCCTACACTCAGCCTGGTTGCCCTATCCAAGCGGACGGAACCGTTTACACTTACACGTATGCGGTTTATATTTCACCGAGCTTCATCCCGGTAAGCCTCGGCAATATGTGTTTCTCCAGTTTCCATTAGCAACAATTTGCTGCGACTTTGATTGAAAATTGACCAAGGAAATGAAGTACTTGTCTAACTCTATGTAACAGAAGCACACGGGGAATGTACTTATTTTGACACAGATCTTTTCATGATGCTAACAACACCCACAATTGTTAAAGTTTATTCAGCATATAATTGTTATTGTCTCTCTTCAAATTCATGAATCCTAGGTTTCTTCCTAGATAGTGCGTTCTTGAGGTATTCACTAAATTATACGCACGTTCTGTAGAGTGTTAACCTTGTTTACAATTGCATTTGTTTTGTGTAAAAACAGTAACGACTTAAACAAATTTTTCCATGTCCAACTGATGAGGATGAGCCCACTCGAATGCCTACGCTTTCACCAAACTACTTAACTGCGAGAGGAGGTGTGTATTCATACCTGCACGCGTTTCCAACTTTATGAGTAACGTTGGTGGATCAGAATGTGAAAAACAGCCCCTAATCACTGATTTAAATTGAAGCCACGAATTTTGTAACCGGTAAATACACAGGGTTCATCGTTTCCTTATATGCATAAACATGATATCGCTTCATTCATTTCGCAGATGCCGATGGGGATAAGATGGACGCTGTCGTCCAACAACGAGACTTTGGCGTGTGCGGATTTCCAAATAAGGATCGTAAATGCTATACCGACCGTAAACAGAGTACCCCCGGTCGCTGCTGCTTAATTTGCTGTTTTACATTGTGATTTCACCCTGTGCGGATATTCCGCTTTAATAATTGTTGTTGTTGATTCAGTAGCCTAATACAGACAGTGTAGCAAAATATTTGTGGGTCTTATACTCAGCTGAATATCCTCAAATGCACAGAGTTAAAATAGGCTAATCACCTTGTAGTTGGTGCTAATAATTGCAGCGGCCTCTTTACCTTGGTACCTTTTGTTTGCATTAATAGATTGAAAATAATAGTTTAAGCAGCTCATGAATCTAGGAAAAGCACGCGATAGTAAAGAAGAAAGAGCAAGACAGGACAACATTTACGAAACACGGATGCTGTAATATATTGAAGATATTACATGTGCAAGCTAGCCTTCAAAGAGGGACAGAATGCGTTTGGAAGGTAGGTGGCGCAAAATTTGTACGTTGTCGACAGAGCAGTTTGCCCAAATCTCGCATAGACTTACAAGGTATTATTTGACTATTTGATATAAGAACCGTTTCTGTGGTACTTCTTAAGTATACATTATAACATTAAGTGTGAATTTGCGAGTTCTTAGGTGATAAGGGATATAAGTCGCGTACGTCCCCTGGTGCTCCTAGCATAAATTTTGCTGGAGACTGTTCGGTGCGTCAAACTAGCATTTAGTCTTCAATTTGATAGATTTGATTTCACAAGAACACAATGCGATGTGAATCTGATTACTTTCAAAGGAGATTTAGATACATCCAACGCATAAGTAAATTAAAATTACACGTCATTAATTTAGACCCTATACTGAGAAGGATAGCTTATAGCCACTCTGGGTACGACTGTTGCTGCCCATCTATGAAAAGGATCAGACCGCGATTCTATTCTTTCCGCAGTTGTTTCTTTTATGCTTTCCAAAGTTTGGCTGATTATTTGGGACCCAGGATATTATTCCATCATAGCCCTGGTTACAAACACCGAGGATATGGTAAATGGGCTCCAGCAAGCGTGATCACGTAATTAGCCCTGGTCCAAATCGCTACCATTCTTTACTTGCCATGTGCAATTTCAAGTTGCAGATAATAAATTCTTCTCGCCAATGTATTATTTCCTAGCTG